TACGGTGGGTGGTGATGACTAGCTGCCTTCCCTCTAGTCTTACACTGCTAAATTAGGGACGGCTAGCGCAGATAGCCCTCGTGTAGCTTTGCGTGAAATTTAAAAAACAAAACAAATGGTTGTCAACATAATTTCTTTCTTTCTGTATAACCTAATCATTTGTACTTGGAAACTTTATTTAAATCTAGTACATACATTTTATTTAATTTTTTTTTACTAAAGTAGATACATTAAGGGTGATGAAACTTTATTTATCTATTTTTTTTACATTTTGTTGGCATTTAAGTACAAATAAACATATAACAAATTAAGAGTGTCAATCTTCGTCTTTTTTTTCTCTGTGTATCAATTAAAATATAGTTTTATGACATATTTACATTTTCAGTTATTTTTATTCACCAATAATAAAATCCACGGGTCTTATTTTCATCTCGCTTGTCTTTAGTGTGTTGTGTTCCTTTTTCCACTGATGCCAAGTAATACCGGTGGGGTCTACTTTATCTTCTGTGTAATACATACCGTTTAGGTTAGAACTGTGACAATTATTATACCACCATCCGCCCTTATAACTTTGACCACAACTGCCACTGTTTTTATCGTTGTCTTTATCCTTGGTGCTGAACATCATGTTGTTGTGACCACTAAGGGAATTTCCTGAAATATTTTTTTTAAATTAAGCAACAAAACATAAACAACTATTGTAGGATATTATCTATTGGAGTAGAGTTTCTTTTTCAATTGCTTTGTAACCAAGAACCAGAGTTGTAACACTTAAATAAAATAGGTTTAAAATAATTATAATTACTGTTAATGCTTTTATTAGCTTAACGATTATATATATATATTACGTGATGTAACAATGAATTGTAGGGAAATAACTGACTAAGCTGTTTTGAGAAATTACTTGAACTATTTTAATTCCATTGTATAAATAACATTTCATGCCCAAACGTTTCTTAAGGCTACCGCACCTATTCATCTCTCTAAATATCAATAATATATTAATAATAACAGAAACTTGTTGATGTGAACAAATAGTTTAAACTCACCCGCGTCACCCTTGTACGTCTTGAAACTCATTTTATAAAGTTCTCTTTCACTTCGTACCAAGAACTCGTCATGCTCTGCATATCTTCGACCTCCTTCAAAGTCTTCCAAATCAACACGGAGCACCATATTGTTTTGATTGGTCAACGCAAAGATGACGTCATTTCCTGGAACAGAAGCATTCTATAATAAATAAATTGTTTACAAGACAGTAATAAATAATCCTAGATAACATGAAAGTATTGGATCACTGTTAAATAAATATATAAAGTTTTACCTAACCAAAACTCCTTGGTTAAGTTTCCAAAACCATTTTTGTATTCTTCCCAAGATCTGTAAAAACTTTCAACTGGTTTTCCAAAGTCTCCTCTTCTTTGGATCAACTAGAAATAAGAAAAGCAATAAAAAAAATACTAAGAAAACGTACCTTGTTATAAGGATGAAAATGAAACTTTAAAATAGATATTTATGTATTATTAAACATTACTCTGTCTTTACAAAACGTATGGAAATTGTTTAAAAATGAAACATTTTCCAACTAAAACAGTCATACGATCTGAATTTATGTAAGATAGATGGTTTTAGATAAACTCTAGAGTAGATTCCTCTGTGTTATTAAACACAGTGATATGTTTATCTTCATGTAGAAACTGTCTGGTTCAAATACACATTTTGATATATATATAAACAACCTAGAACGAAATGATTACCAAGTGCAAACACGTCTTTTAAATTGTATATTTAAACGTGATAATTAGAATATTTTAATGAACAGAGCTAGTGAAGAAATATCACAAAAAATGTAAAACAAAAATGTTATATGTTCTTCGAAATAACTGAGTTCATATAACAAAGTGTTTTTTTTTTTGGTGAAAACAATGGCTTACTTTTAACTAAATGTTTCACGAAAATACTCCTTAACTGAAACTCAACTGAAGCTAAGCCATGAAAT